GAATGGAAAATGCAGAGAGAGGATGAAAAGCGATGACCTAAAACCAGCGTCGGCGTGTGAGGAAGACGTGAGAAAAAAAATCATAAAAAGAGTTTTTGAATTATTTAGTCTCCAAACCAGGAACTCGCAGCTTGAATATTTATGAGGAATTTAAAAAAAAGGTTGCCTCACCAGCAGTTTATCAGTCTCAACACAAAACGTTCATCCAATCTGAACCTCAGTGTGAAAAATATTATCAACGTCAGTCAATTACCTTTTTAATTGTCACGCAGCAAACCTGCCATCAACAAAACAGAAGACTGAAAAAAAAGCTCTGATGGAGTTTTCTAATAAAGCTGCAGAAACACTTAGTTTGCTTTAGCCACATTACAAGCAGCGCTGCAAAAACTAGCCATCGAAAAGTAAGTTATAAAATAAAAGATTATAGTCTGAATCTGCTCTAATTAAGTTAAATAATCTGCCAGCGCAGTAAGACAACTGTATGGAGCATGTTCGGCGACATGGGATAAAAAAATTAAATGTGACCACGTGATAATAATGCATGGTCACGCAATAATTACCTGTGTTGTATATAAAGTACCTAGAAGTGATAATTGTGTAATAGTACAAGTATCTTATCATAATACTTTAGTAAAAGTTAAAGCCTTCTCTAAGAATTTTACTTGAGTAAGTCTTAAAGTATCTGATATTTTTTGTACTTAAGTATCAAAAGCAATTTTCTGACACAAGTGTTAAGTATTAAAAGTAAAAGTACTGAGTAAAAGTGAGCAATTAGATTTTCCAAAATGGCATTTATTGGGAGGTGACTTCTCAAAAAAAAATTCTAACAGCATGCAGCTGTGATGGGTTATGTAAGCTAATATAGTCAGAATGGTATATATTTATACTTCTCATCCAACCACAATTAAATTCACTCTATTCAGGAGACGCAATTTATCAGGATAGTATTTTTTTAAAGTAATGACAACTCGGAACAAAATAGAAGTAACGACTTTCTATTTCTTACCTTTTTAAAAAATGTAAGGAGTAGAAAGTACAGATAATTGTGTAAAAATGTAACGAATAAAAGTAAAAAGTGCGCTGAAAAATAATTACTCAAGTAAAGTACAGATAACCAAAATTTCTACTTAAGTGCAGTAACAAAGTATTTGTACTTAGTTACATTACAACTGATGTGTAAAAACCGGGTCTTCTCGGTTCTGCAAAACTGCTGCTGCTCCTGAAGAGAGAAACTCTGAAACAGGCTGGTTGAACAGCAAGAATYTTTATTTTGCAGTCCAGGAGATTTACAGCCAAAAACCAAATCGTGACCTTCTAAGCCAAATGAATCACCAGGTAAAAAGATGAAGATGAAGGCGAAGAGTAGGGGCGTACAAGCCTTTTTATAGGTTTCACAGTGCAGTCCAACAGATGCACCATAAATTTTGTCACGGTATACCTTAAGCATTTCTTTTCCTAATATGGTAACGTGCCGAGGTCTGAAGCTGGGGTCTAAGAGAGACATAGCACATCTGTGCATTCCTGAAAAGAGGCTCCCACTTTTAGACACTACACAACTCTAATAATTACATTGTGGCCATGAGATAATTATTGCAGTCACCGCACAATTGCACTTGGTAAGGCTTCTTGAAACAAGAAAAAAGTCCAGGCTAACATTAATAATCTAACACATTTTACTGTTGTTTAGTATTTCAGTCTCAAAAAAACAAGATCAAAAATAAGATTGTAAGTTGGTTAGATGGACATTTTTTGCAGTGTAAATGTTGACCAAACTGTTCTAAAACCTGATTAATAATAATAATATATCAGTGCCTATTCTAGAAAAGCATCAATACTTCCCTGCACTTGCACACATAATGAGCTCCCCTGCTACATGGCAGCCAACAAGGATTTTACTGTCAATCAAAAAACATATTTACTGTCATTAAGTTTGTTACGCACAAACTTAAATGTTAATAAAATGGAACAAATTGAAACTTAAGCCTGGTGGACTGGTGGAAGGGGTAAAGCATGGTTCTGAATGTGTCTTTCTAGTTTAGCCCATCTTTCAAAGTGGGGTTGTTGCACCTTTCATCGTTGCCATGTTCTCCTTCTAAAGACGCACGGAGGCAGAATAGAAGGTCAACATTAATGCACCTGTGTGCCGACAGCCGGCGTAGTCACACAGCAGAAACAATTTGTGTTTGTGTGTGTGAAGGACACGCAGCGCGGAAGGACTCCGCTCTGAGCTATAATGATGCTGTTGTCTGAAACCACACACACTGATGTGGCTCCAAACGGGGCTCGGTTTGGTCAGCACGAGCGAGAAAAAGCAGACGGAGCGTCGGCCATCATGTCGTGGCAGCGTGGCGTGACCACTGTGGGAAAAAAATAATACAAAAATTGGCAACTGAAAATAAAATAATTGCTTTTTAATAGAAACTTGTCATCCTGTTTAGCGTTGATATGATTTTCTGCTGTGACTTCTGCTCTTTTATATATCCATATCTATCTAGATATAGATATTAGTGGTGCAACAATACATGAACCCATATCGAACCATATCGAACAGTGCTTTAGGGTCAACACACACTATCGAACAACACAGATTTTTAAAATTAATTTTATCAACTTGTCTTCTGAAGATGCTCTGTGTTAAAGGATCAATGGATCTGTGTTCGACTACTCCACCTAGGCTACATTTTTGAGCGCAGATCCACCGAGAAACTTGCTGTTTCAGCAACATTTAATTTAAAAACTGTACTTTTGAGGTTAAACAAATGTCCATAATTAATTTAAATAAATTACAAGTTAAAAGGGGCATGGACATTTCTCTTTTTTGTATCGAAAAAATATTGAATCGTGAGACTAAAGTATCGAACCGAACCAAATCGTGAATTTTCTGTATCGTTGCACCCCTAACAGATATATAGATTATTATGGACTTTATGGGGGGGGGGGGGGTGATTCTTTGAGACTTTTTTTCTCTTAGGACAACATATACTGAAAAGAGCTGAAGCTTTTTCATTTCAATCTGCGATGATAGTCCAGTTTTTTTCTCTCACTACGCCGGTTTTCAACTATTATAAAGAAAAGCTCCAACAAGAAAAAGGACAAATCCAATACGTGTGCCGGTGTTTCACAGCGACTTCCTATTTCATAATTTTATTTTTCTGCATAAATGTATTTGTTCATGACATTTTTCTCAAATTCTTCCTAATGAGCTAGCTGTTCAGCTGTAGCTGTGGAGGGCTGTAATCACAGCTGCACGTACAAACAAGCTCCCTATCAGAGTTAATTAGAATTACTTTTTTTTCTCCTGTGAGCTAATTGTGCTGCAGCATTAAATGCAAACATAAACCAAGCTAAATAACCAACAGGGAGACGAGAGGGGTTAAAAGGAAAGAGGCAGGATATTGTCTTCATTGCATGTAATGATGGGAGTGAGTTACATAATCTATGTAAAAAAACATCCCTTGAATCATTTGTTTTGCTGGCTCATCTCTTCCAACATTAATCTGCTCTAAATTAACATGATAAAAGCTTACGTATATTAGACATGCTGTAAGCTTCCCATCTGTACGTCCATTTCCTCCACAGGGCCAGTCCATGTAGTCAGGTATAAACACATCCACCTGTTTGTTTGTGTAATTTAACAGGTGTCTCTTCCATTATTTGACTGGACACTGACGGAGAGCGCTGGAACGGGAAGTAAAAAGGTGCTCGAACGCGAGCGCGTGTAAACGTTTGTCTGCTCATTCGAGTGAATAAATATTACACTGAATTATGACGGTACACACAGACACTGTCCGTGGCCCCTCAGCATTGTGTGGCACGTCAAACA